ACTATCGGCTGCATGTTTGTCCACCGATCCCACCTCACAACAGAAAGAGCAGCAAATGGAATCCAAGGTTGAAATTGATCCAAAAGTGATACTGGATCACGGCACCCGCCAGGGGCTTTAGCACCAGCGATTCCTCAAAATTTGAGTTCCACCCCTGCCTGGGTTCCCCAATATATGGAAGAATATCTGAGAGAAGGTGTCCCAGAATCTGGGGCAATGAGCGGTTGGAGCGTCCCTTCCTTGCCGGAACCTGCTCCTTATTTGCAGCGAAATAAAGGTACTCGAGTAGTGGTAGGGTGCGGTAAAGATTTGCCCCCTAGCGAGACTTCAAGTCGTGAATCTGTAGAAATACAGAAGGGGGCGAGAGCGGCCGTCCGGTAAACAGGACCATTTGAAGCAATCACGACGGCAGGACATAGACCAGTCCTTGGAGGAGGAATATGTCCTCTTAGAGCATCTCTATACCACTTCTTTCTATAAATGCCGAAGTTGATTATCTCGCAGATCTACCTATTACAAAAAATAACCCCAGATTAGCATCCAGAATCTCACCAACACCCCCGAAAGGTGGAATACCACCGACCGATTCGTCAGTAGCAACATCTTCCCACCTAATCGTTCCCAAGACTCCCCCTCTTCCCCTCCGGATCAAAAACCCCAACCCCGACTGGGGCTAGACCGGGCCCGCCACCCGCCACTTCCGATATCGGCCCCCACCAAATTCGCTACGTCTCCCACAGATCCCGGAGAATACCCGAATAATACCTCATCTCTTGCTCGGGGATCAATATCTGCAATCCCCAGGGTATTCTAGGGGAATCTCGGGGGGGTTCTCTTCTGTAGGTTCTCTCTGTGGCTTCTTTATGTGGGGAAAACAGTGCGAGGGGGCGTTGAAGACGCTTGGTTGCGATTGGCATAGTCGAAGAGACTACCGGGTCCGCGAAGTTAGTATGGGTTTGTTGGTCGAATGGAAGCTCCTACAGTTCGTCTTCCGTCCCCGTGAGGGGTGGTCCCTATTTATTCTAGAAGGCGCTTGGAGGAAAACATGCACGGATGTGGTGAAGTGCCCTGGAGTGTCAGAGAACTAAATATATGATGAAGATTGTGGATCAATGCTTGGGCCTAATAATGTTCTCAATGGAAAGCTATAGTGCCCGGGCGTTCTTACCAGTATATCTTTCATTTGTGATAAGAGATTGCCGAGAATATTCCTTTCATCACTTTTCTCTGCTTTGGAATTGAGGGTTAGAGGAAAGGGGGGTCTTCGTGCAGCGGACGGGAGACTATGTTGGAATTTGGTAAATTTAAATTTCCGTTTGGGGTGATGTGCGAACGAAACTACAAGCAGCCACTAATATTCACAACCTCATTCGAACAGATCATTTCATTTCGATCACCCTTGCCCACTAGGCACACTTAAGATTATTAACATGCCTTCCCCCGGGACGGTGACTTATTTGTCTGGATCGGCAAGACCAGTCTCCCGCCCAACTGCACTCGAGTGGGCCACGGCCGTGTCATATCACCTACGGTAGTTCCCCATACCGCACAAAATCACTCCCCCCCACCCCACAGTTCCTAATCCCAACATCAGATGACTGAACAGATACTAGCACTAAAGCACAACTTACTTCAAGTGCAACGCAGGTACTCCAGATTTAGGGTCAAGTCGGCCCAACTCCAACATCCACCATGGTTTTCCATCAACTGAAGCACTCGTTAGTTCATAAAGCGTCCCAAATTTTGGCTTGGCTTGGCGTCCAAACCCTAAAAAAGAGATAGCGAAAGAACACCAAGAAGCGTCTGAAAAAAATAAAAATAGCCCTGATATTAAGAGAGTACCGGTGTGGTGCGAGGAAGGTTTTAGGGGTTTTCTGGTCATGTTTGCTGGGTTTTTGCCCATAGAATTTTCTGTTTGGGATGAGGCTTAGCAGGTGGCTGTTTTTCACCTGGAGGCATGGCCTTGCCTT